AAGTTTGGGGGTGAGGGGAGGGAGAGGGAGAAGGGACTTGAAATAAGCTTGTTCCCTAACTAGAACTAATAAAATAAAATAAAATTAAAAAAAAAAAAGAAAAGCTCATGGTTCCTGTCTTCTCTGTAAGAAACAGGGTGCAGATAAAGATCCAGCTACACGGGAGAGACAGTTGAGTCTCAAAAAATGCAGAGAGAATAATAAATATGGGGGCTTAAGATGTCAACACCTGGTGTTGGTATCTGGTGGCAGTTTTATATAGGCAGTTCTGAATTGCAAATCCTGTATGAAGCATCACACTGCTTTGAGGTGTTTCACACTAGGGATACTGCACTGAAGTGCTTAGGTGACTCTTTCATCCCCTAGGACCTGAGGGACTCTCATAAAGACAAGAACTGAAATGAGAAAATGAATGTAAAACAACTTAGGAAGGATGCTTTCAAACTATCATCAGTCTGGATGGTATTAAGAAAAGAATAATGACCTACCCTTCATTGTCAAGATTCCTGCGACATTAGGTATGAACAGCTCTAGGGTAAGTAGGTCCTAGTTTCCTCCCCTTAAACTGAGTGTTCTTTCAAGAATAAACTAGTTTAGGCAGATTTAAAAGGAAGTATTGTTTACTTAATAGACAGCTAAATAAACCATTTCAATTCTAACTGGACATCCCCCACCCCGCCCCGGCCTCCATGTGCCTTGGCATCCATTTCTTTCTCACAGTCCTGAATTTGGTGTTTGCCTTTCCCATCTGGAACTGGACACCCCCCCCCCCGCCCCGGCCTCCATGTGCCTTGGCATCCATTTCTTTCTCACAGTCCTGAATTTGGTGTTTGCCTTTCCCATGTAGGTTCTCACATTTGATCTCACAATTTAACTTTAGTGAGGTTTCTGTAATATGCTTAGCTTTAGCAGACAAAGTATAACAAGCAAATCCATATAAGTGCAAATGACTGGAAGGAGACTCCTCTAACTTAAAATCCTATTGGGGCTAGAGAGACGGTTTAGCTGTGAAGAGCACTGGCTGCTCTTCTAGAGGGCCCAGGTTTAATTCCTGGAACTCACATGGCAGCTCATGACTATCTGTAATTACAGGTCCAAGGGGCCCAGTGCCCTTTTCTGACCTCCTTGGGCACTGCATACATGTGCACAGGCATACATGCAGCCTAAGCACCCATATTCATAAAATAAAAGTAAATGGAAAAAATTAAAACAAAAAAGTGAACAATATCAATCTGGAAGTGGTATTTTAAACATATTCTAGATGTTTGTAACTGTGTACAGGGTTCAGAGTATCTCTGCCCTGAAAAAATTTTCAAAGAGCTGTTTGATCAAGGGATATTACCTCAGTAAGAGAGGCGTTAATGCCATGTTACTGACCTGTTTTGAAGACTGGCAGAGACTGATATGTAGTCAAATATAATCAAGTGCTGTACCAGTTCACAAAGTCCAACTCCACCAGCATGGGGGCAAACAGGGACTAGAAGGAAGGTATTTCAATTTAATGCAAAAGAAAGCAGAGAAGAGGGAGAGTGAGTCCATGGGTTTTGTTAGTGTCTACAGACAATTCAATATATTTTTTTAAATATTTAAGGATGAAATACTAGGAGGGAAATCAGCCAAGACTCACTGATAAGGGATAAATAAGATTTAGAGAAAAGGCAAACTACAGACCTATGAGTTGCAAAGGACAGCAAAGGGAGCATGGCCTTTGGTGGGAGCAGAGTGGAGATGTGGCCCACAACCTCCACATTACCCTTACTTCCAAACTTTTTCGCCATCAGTAATACTGAGAGATTTTCATTGACACTGCCTAGTCTGCAGCTGTCAATCTGGAGAAACTGCAGGGCATTTGCTTGTAGGAGTTGCTTAAATATCACTCTATTGTGGCACTGGAAATAGAATTAAATATTTCAATATAATACCAACAGAAGAATCAGCCTTCGTTCTCACGATCCCTAAGCTTGGCACTACCATGATTCCACACCAGCTGTTACTCATTACTAGTCTTCAGGAAGCCTGGACTATATTTCTTTCTTCAGCTCTCCATTTGTAAAGGGATTACTGTTGTATCCCCTAGAAAGTGGGAAACTGAATGAAGCACCAGGATGGAATACAGTGACAGCTACAAACAGATGGCACAATGACAAAATGGCAGAGTGTCAGGGTGGTATTGTTCATTTTGGGGGAGACTGAAAACCTGTTCCTTACTCTGTTCTGCCTTTGGGCTGACTGCAGCAGGTGTAGGCAGGACTAGTGCTTAGTTTATCAGCACAAGAAGAGAACAGCGTCTATTTGGATGCTGATGTTCTTAAAGTCACTGTATGCCCTGACAATGTTATCCTTTATCCTTGTTAATTCTGAGTAATTGTTTAGAGAGAGAGAAAAAAAAAAGAACACTGACCTGAGTCCATGAATTATGGAAAAATTTACAAAACATTGTATTCTAATGAACCACTAATTTTTATGATGATAAAAATTTCCCAACTTATAATGCAACATGACTGTGTCCTCTGTACAAGTAGTCAGTGAGGTAATACCAAGGACATATCACTCACCTGTTCTCCTGTGGCAACGCCAATTCCTAATGGGGCCAATGCCTGCAAAATAAGGCAGCCTTGTGTTATTTTCCAATGTTTGAACTGCAACTATGAATGTTTAAAAATATTTTTAGAGCTGAAGGAAACATCCCTGCTGTTGAACCATATGAAGTTTAAAGCTTGGCAGAAGTATGTCCACAGCAGTGTGTGTGTGTGGAGGAGAGCTGTGTACCCACAGGGCATAAAAAACAGGGCTGCTCACATATAGCCACTGCTCCCTTCCTGGATGTGGATCTGCAGAGTTCCTTCTGCAGTACTACGTGCTCCAGGGCCTGAGGAGAGGACAGGGCCACTAAGTAATGTGTTCTTGTGGAGCCATGGGTCTCTGGCCTCTGCTTTTCATGGATCACTGCTTGATTTATTTTCTTATTATATCCCTAATAACCATGTGGAGTGATGACTTTAAACTCTCTTGCTCATGAATTCCCAAACCCTCCCATCCAGCTCTGTGGTGGCCTGCCTTTATAGAGAACACTAAGACCACTGTTTACCTGGTAGACCCCTCTGTCATTTAATAAAGTGCTGAGGTGTTCACTTGGATATGGCATTGCACTCTCTATTCCTCTTGCCTGGCCCTGAACAGTTTCTTCACCTACCACCTGGGCTACAGGCTATTTCCCAACTCCACAGATCCCTTCCCCAGGCATCTTGGCATAAATGATTCTTAGCATAAATGATTTCTCTGTGAGAAAAAGGAGCTCTCAGTGTCCCTAATTTGCAGATGAAGAAACAGGCATTCAGGTATGAACTCTCCCCAGACCACAAAGATGGAAAGTATAGAGTAGGATTTGAGTTTTAGATGATTCTATAGTTGGAGGAGACATCTGAATCATTAGATGTCTGTTTCAGTAGCAGAAACAGCCTTTAATTAAAAGCCAGTTGTTCCAAACATCACTACTTTTGTGCTGTGTCTAACTGGATGTGTTGACTCGAACAAGACATCCAAGAACCATATACATCTGGTTTCCTCATTGTAGAAGGTCTCAGTTTCAACGTAGTTTCTAAGTTATCTTCTCATGCTCATAATTCCCACTTCTTGAATTTGAGAATTGTCTGTCACTATGTCATTCTCTCCTTTAAGAGCCCACAGTGATTCCTTCTGATCAGCTGCATCCTCCAAACAATGAATTCCATCATCTGGCTCCCAGCACTGGCTTCTGATACTTCCTGGTAGGCAGCATTCCCTTGGTATCTCTTCTGGTCTCTATCTGGATCTGCCATTTAGAAAGCTGCCCTGCCTCATCTCATTTATTCCATTCTTAGGGCCTCCTGAGGGAACAGCCTCCACTGTTCAAGGAAAATCTTGGTGAGTCTGTTGTGGATTATTATTTTAACTGGGCAAAGATGTGTTACATTTGTTTATGCTGCAGAATATTACTTTGTGTAAGGATGTGTTACTTCTGTTTATGCTGCATTTGTTTAATTATGTAAAGATGCGTTGCATTTGTTTCACTTTACCTGCCTAAAGCACCTAATTGGTCCAATAAAGAGCTGAACAGCCAATAGCTGAGCAGAGAAAGGATAGGCAGAGCTGGCAGGTAGAGATAATAGGTAGGAGGAAAAATCTAGGCTTAAGAGAGAGGAGAGGCGAGAACAATAGAGAAAGAGAGGGAGATGCCCAGGGCTAGGCAGGCACCTGCCAACCAACCAGATACAAGAAACAGTGAAAGTAATATGAAGGAAAGAAAAGTAAAAAGCCCAGAGGCAAAAGGTAGATAAAGAGAAACAGGTTAATTTAAGTTAAAAAGAGCTAGCCAGAAATGAGCCTAAAGTAGGATGAGATTTCATGGCTAATATGAAGTCTTCATGTCATGATATGGGAGCTGGTTGTTGGCCCAAATGGAAAAGCCTGGTACATCAGTCAAAGCTCAGAAAAGTATCCAAGAACACTCTAAGTGGCAGAGGTGACAACCCGAGTTTAATTCCTGTGATCCACAAGATGGAGAGAATCAACTCCCACAAATTGTCCTCTGACTTACATACATACATAATACATACATAATACATACATACACACACACACACACACACACACACACACACACACACACACACACACACACACACACACAAAAAAAAAACAAAAGACACTACAAGCCAAAAAAAAAAAAAACCCTAAGAAGCCAGGCATAGTGGTAAACAACTATAATGTCATCACTATGGAGATAAGTGGGAGGATCAAAAGTTTGAGATCAACCTAGCTATAAAGTGAGGAAACCCTGTTTCTAAACTAAGAGTTTCAATCCCAATCAAAACTCTGATCTTATTCTTCACAGAAATAGAAAAAAAATCCTAAAATCCATATGGAATCACAAAATACCCCAGATAGGGATAACAATCTTAAGTAAAAAGAGCAATGCTGGAGGGATTAACGTTCTATACACCAAGATACACTAGAGCCACAGTAATAGAAAGAATAGTGTTTGGGTGCAAAAATAGACATACAGACCAATGGAACAAACTGAATAGTTGAACATCAGAACTTAAAACTATAACCATGTATTATTCAACGAAGATGTCAAAACATAAAATGGAGAAAAAAACAGCAAAGAGTTCTGGGAAAACTGGATGCTCATATACAGAAGAATGAAGTTAGACCCCTATCTATTACCTTGCATAAAAGTATCTCCAAATAAATTAAAGACCCAAATATTAAACCAGAAAACACTGAAATTGCTAGAAGAAAACATAAGCAGTACCCTACAGGACATAAGTACAAAAAAGAACTTTCTAAATAGGACTCCATTTGCCTGGGAATTGAGACCAACAATTGACAAATGGGACTTCATAAAACTAAAAACTTATGTATAACTAAAGAAACAATCTAGTGAAGAGGCAATCCACATAATGGGAAAAAAGGAAAGAAGGAAGGAAGGAAAGAAGAGAGAAAGGAAGACAAAGAAAGATTCCTCCCCATCAGTTATATTTTGTTTTAAACTTTTTTCTTTTACTCTCTAAATTTATTTTAAAGTTTAATTCATTTAATTAAGTTAATTAATTGTGTGTGTGTCACAGTGGAGATCAGAGGACAACATGTAGGAGTCAGTTTTCCTCTTCTACCATGGGGGTCCTGGTGACTGAACTTAGGTTTTCTGATTTGGTAGCAACAATCTCCTGCTGAGCCATTTCTCTAGCTCCTGTGTACACTTAAAAGATAAAACCACAGAATGAGAAAATATAGATATGCAAAGTGTGTTGGTTTCTATGTCCCACATTAAGTTTAGATGCTTGAATACTTGGTACCCAATTGGTAGCATTATTTGGGTAGGCTTAGGAGGTGTGGCCTTGCTGGAGGAAGTATGTCACTGGGGGCAGGTTTTGGGATTTCAAAGCCACTTGTCTTTTATGGTTTGAGATACAAGCCCTCAGCTTCTGCTCTAGATGCCATGTCAACTGCTTGCTGCCATGCTTCCCTGCCATGATGGACTCTCTATCCCTCTGGAACCATAATTCCAAATAAACCCTTCCTTCCGTTAGTTTCCTTCATCATGGTGTTTTGACACAGCAATAGAAAAGTAACTAAGACACAGACTCATCCCAGAGAGAAAATGTTCCTTAAAGGGCAGAAGTTGAATAGGAGTCAAAGTAATAATATACAATGTACAAGAATACTATAGGCAGATACTGGCCAAACCTGTACCCAGGGGGAGGGACAGGCTTAAAGCTCAAGGTCTGAATACAGAGTTGGGCACTGATGCCGACAAGGAGCAGTGGAAGGAGGTTCACAAGCAGGTGGTTGACAGTGCCTATGAGGTGAACAAACTGAAGGGTTATACATCCTGGGCCATTGGCCTGTCTGTGGCTGACTTGGCCCAGAGCATAATGAAGAATCTTAGGCGGGTGCATCCCATTCTACCATGATTAAGGGTCTCTATGGAATCCAGGATGATGTCTTCCTCAGTGTCTTTTGTGTCCTGGGACAAAATGGAATCTCAGATGTTGTGAAGGTGACTCTAACTTCTGAAGAGGAGGCCCGCTTGAAGAAGAGTGCAGATACGCTCTGGGGGACCCAGAAAGAGTTGCAGTTCTGAAGTCCTCAGATACCCTAATGCTTCACAGTCCAGGCTGCATGGTTTCTATGGAGACCACACACATCTATCTACTCATCTGAGCTGTGGTTAGTGTGGTTGTGTTAAGGTAGCCTGGAGAAATCCTCACTTCCCACAGCTCTACCCTGATGCTAAGTGGTACTTGTGTAGCGGTGAACCGGTTGGTGTGACAGTCCCACTGTCTCCAAAACACACTGCCAATTGTCTGCAGGCTTCAATTAGCCGTGAGCCTGTGTCTATGCTCTGCACCCTTCACCAAACTTGCCTAGGCCAATGAGTTCCCAGTTAGTCACAACCTGGCACCAGTGTGTAAGTCCATCATGCATATCTTGTGCATAACTGTTCTAAAGAATATTATTTTGTGTATTATGTTTCTGTAGTGTACTCTGAAATATTGTATAAGAAATAAGATCTGCATATGGATGATGCCCAACTACCCAAGTGTCATGCCAATGAAAATACCAAATAAACCTTGAACGGTGAAAAAAAAAAAAAGAAAAAGAAAAAAGAAAACAGTCAGGCAATCTCTTGTTTAGAGACCTGGTCTTTTGAGTCCTCTGGAGAAAATCTATACTTTATGTTTCACTCCTGACAAATAAAATACAGGTGCTACTTAGCTTGATAGAATCCTCAAAAATGCATTGTTAATGGAAAGATCATAAGCAGAAAATATGTTCAACTTACCTAGTCTACCAAATATGAAGGCAGCTTAGAGAGACCCACCTGTTTCTGGAACACTGGAACAGGAGTTAAACATTATAATACTATTAAATCACTACTAATGGTAATGATAAACCTTCATTGTATACATTTCTCTTTGAATCTTTTTATTTTTTCTTCAAATAGGCTAAGCTGTTAGAGGGGAGGCAATCTGACTCCCTATCTGTCAGCATTTAAACACTTTTCTGGTACCCTGGTGAGTCAAACAGCTAGCATTCTGGATGTTGTGGGAAATCATTTTGAAGACACACTAGCAGCTTAATAGGATCACTATAAGCATGGCTGAAAATATATTCCATTCAGTCAGCACCAGCATTAGAAGGAAACATTCTAAGTGAGATACACCTTGATGAAATAGATGATCCTGAAGCCCCCCCCCCTTTTTTTAACCAAAGATAGGAGGGGAACACTTCCCTATGGCCCAGAAGAAGGCTTGTGATTATTGCAAACATAGCTCCTCACTTGCAAGAGGAATTTTTCTATTTTTGTTGCAAACATGGTGTTTAATTTGCATGAGGGACTATGGCATGAGAAATTTAGGATCTGTTATGACCCCTTGAGAACACTAAACAAAACAGTAAATGACTGAGATGGCAGAAGCAGCAGCTTTATTACCTTGGAAATAGCTGCATGTCCCAGGATGTCATCAGGGGATGTGGGCTCCTCAATCCACAATGGCTTGAATTCAGCCAGTTTTGCCATCCACTCCACTGCCTCAGGCACATCCCAACACTGGTTGGCATCCATCATCTGCAAGGACAGACCCCTCAATTCTCTGTAGGGTTGGGGCCCCAGGAAGGAGATGCAATCATTTAATGCAACCTGCTGCTTAGGAAGACTACTCTGGCATTGTTTTCCTGCTAAATTCTATCCCAGAGGCTTCAAAAAAGGATCCAAAGTGCAACCATTGGGATTAGAGATCTGGCTTCAGATATTAGCCATATATACAGTAGGAGATGTGAACTGTTCACAGAACTGTTGTGATGTATACAAGTGCCCTGGGCTGGGTTATGAGATGTGCTCAATGACCTTTGAGTTGGATCCACTGAGCTCTTTATTTTAAGCATATGAGTGTTTTGCTATAACGTGCACCATGTACATTATGTGTCTAGTGCCAGAAGCCAGAAGAGGTCATCAGATCCACTGGAACTGGAGTTGCAGCTGGATATAAGCTGTCATCTGGAACTCGAAGAAACCATTCTGAGTGAGGTAACCCAATCACAAAAAGACAAACATGATATGTACTCACTCATATGTGGATTTTAGACATAGAGTAAAGGATTACTAGCCTACAATCCACACTGCCAGAGAAACTAGCAAACAAGGAGGACCCTAAAAGAGACAAACATTGTCCCCTAGAGAAGGGGAAAGGGTCAGGATCCTCTGAGCTGTCATCTGGGTGCTGGGAACAGAATCTGAGACCTCAGCAAAAATGCTCTTAATCACTGAACCATCTCTCTAGCTCCTTATTTTACTTATGTAGAGTGTGTATGTACGCCCTGGTGTGTATGCATGTATATACACATGTGTGGAAGTCAAAGGACAACTTGTGCGGATCAGGTTTTTCCTTCTACAATGTGGACAGCAGATAACTTTAACTGTTGAGCCATCTCACCAGTTCCCCTTCTGTCACCTTTTGAATCATATGTATAGTCAACATTGAGCTTGTTCAATAGTCCTTTATTGACTATTGCCCACCAGGTGTCTGACTTATTAATAAATAACTACTAATGAAACTCCTGTTCCACTAGGTACTTACTGAGTTTTGTTCCATTTAATTTTTACTATAATCCCACAAGGCAGCTCATACTATCCTGTTTTACAAATAAGAAAATTGACATATAGAGAAACCAGTAAGCTAAGTTGGTGGTAAGTTCAAGTCCAGGCCTTACTTTTTAGGTTCTGGCTTTCTTCTCACTATCATCTTACCTGGAAGCCAGGGTGTACCGAGAAGTTGCAGGCTAAGATATCTTTATTCAAATAATACCAGCCAAGTGCAAGCCAGAGCATGCCCAGAGGCAGGAAGCTAGGGAGGCCAGAGAGAGAACTTCCATGTGTCTGCCGCCTTAAGAACTCCCCAGCGGGGGCTGGAGAGATGGCTCAGAGGTTAAGAGCACTGACTGTTCTTCCAGAGGTCCTGAGTTCAATTCCCAGCAACCATATGGTGGCTCACAACCACCTTGAATGAGATCTGGTGCCCTCTGCTGGCATGCAGGCAGAAGACTGTATACATAATAAATAAGATCTTAAAACAAAACAAAACAACAACAAAAACTCCCCAGCGTCATCCTGAACATCCCCTGACCAAGTTATGCACACCTGTAGCCAGCCCGTAGGAGGCGTGGTTCCGGTGTCCCCCTATACCAGGGGATTGTTATGCAGAGCTTGAAACAGGGCCCACCCCTCTGCCATCAACCTCATTAAACTTGGAGAAGACAGACAAGGACATGAGATTCAATAAATCCTTTAAGTGGTAAGAGCTTCCTCACAGGATACTCTGAGAACCACAGTATGGTAGGCTGAAGATCAATTTTATCATAAATTATTTGGATGTGGATGACTTCATGAAACAAAAGCAGTGCTATTTCATGTATAAATAATGAGACTTCTCATCTTACACCAAGTATTCCAAAATTAATTTTAACACACAAAACAAGCCTTATTTGTTAAAATTTATGAAATCATGATGGCAGCTTTCTTTTTTGTGTAGCTTTTTTTTAGAAAAAATATTTTACGTATAATAAAAACTATGCCATAAAATACATGAAAATGATAAATCCTTATGTTTAATCTCACCTAAAATTTCAACACTTCTTCAAAAAATGGCTGCTGGGAACCTATCAAGCTGCTTAAGGGAGGTTAATGATTGACACACTAGGGTGGTACCAATGGAAGACTGCTGGTTCAGGCTCACTCATAATTAGCAAAAAAGTCTCTTGTACTGATAGGACTTAATTGGCTCTATAGAATTAGAAAACTTAAACTTATCAGATCCCAAAGCTTTTCAAAAGAATTCACCTGTCACAAGACCACCGTAAATTATGAAAATTTCCATGTTCTTAATCTTTGCTTGAAACAAAAGACTTCAGGCTGGGAATGAGTATTAGGTTTCAGTGGTAAAGTGTTTATTTAACATGGACACATCCCTGAGTTAGATCCACAATACCAAAAAAAAAATGCATTAAGCTGCCATGTGTTATTATAGTGTGAGAAGATATTTACCAAAGTCTTCTCTGGTCCAATCATGTCCCTCAGGAGACGGCATCTTCGTATGTCATCTTGCAGATCAGCCCCAACTTTTACTTTAAACCTACAAATTCACTTAGTTTAGGTAGGTCTCTAACTTGGCAAGAACATCCGGATTTTCTGTAGAAGTGACTCTCTGTGAATCATTCACAGACCACATTTTTCTAGTAACCTCTGCTCTTCAGTCAAACTTTAAACAAACCACTTAACAATAATGCTGCAAACTGCATTTCTTTGTTCAGTTTCAGAGCAATGACTCTTAATTATCTGCTGACTCACAGTTAAGGAACCAGAAAGAGAAGTTACATCTCTAATACAGCTCCCCCAAATTTTTCTATGCCAAACAGGTTAGAAGAAACAGGTCCTACTCCAAATGGAAGAGGTGAGTGGGGTTGACACAGCCCAGACATTTGCTAGTTATTTGCACAGTTTTGCCTCCAGTGAGCACAGTTGGAAAAAAAGGCTGCAGGGCTGATCTATTCCTTATGGTTCAGGGTTCCAAGGAGGAAAAGGGACTTGGTCACACAGAGAGGAGAAACAGAGTATTGTCTGTAGTATCCTGTAGAGGTCTCCTTCATGGTACATTTGTTCACTCACAAGGAGCCTACTGACCCCCAATCTGCCTTAATACCCAATTATGTTCTTGAGACATAAGCATCTATAGATTTTCCTTTTGGTTCTGCTGGAGTATGCTTGGGCCAATGTTGGCACTGTTATTGGAGGAGAGAATATCACCCCAAGGGACTGGTATCTAATTTTTCCCTCACAACCATCTGTTTAGTGAACACCAGGGCTATGCTTAGGAGCCACAATAGCTTTAGGTTGCCACAGCAGACACAACCCAGGTCTTCTACTCCGCAAAGTACTACTCTGTCTACAGAGTAGTAGATGCTCACAAAAGCATCACACAGGTAGAGGAGTCACCTTTCCTGGATAATTGTAACTACTAACCACCTTCAAAGGAGACTCTCTTTACATGAAGACCATCACATAAATCACAACTGGGCACAATGCAGAGAACAGACCATTGGGAACCAAACCATAAAGAATAATATATATCAAAGCTCCTGCATCAATGGCTCAGGGAACATCTTGGAAAAAGAGACAGAGATTATAAGAGGAAGAATACCAGAAAGTCTACTGTGAAAGTCTCTTCTAGAAATGACCACCTAAACAAGACCAGAACAATGGCAATATCAACAGACATTTTAATGTGGAGGAAAATGTTGCAGGGTCCCACCCATAGACAAAGAACTACAAACAGCAAATGACTACTAGGAGGAGAATCAGCCCTTCACATTATTCTTATCTGTTGCAGAATGGTGAGCCTTGAAATTATATACATCACTACCAGCAAAACATGAACTCAGCAGAGTTGTAGTTACATATAATAGTGTACACACATACATACATGCACACATAGAATACATGTATGTAACAATTATATACAACGCCTTTAATCCCAGCACTCGGGAGGCAGAGGCAGGAGGATCTCTGTGAGTTCAAGGCTAGCCTGGTCTTCAAAGAGAGTTCCAGGACAGTCTCCAAACCTACAGAGAAACACTGTGTGGAAAAACCAAAACCAAGCAAAACAAAAACCAATGATATTCAGAAAAACCAGACTACCAATTTAAGAGTGGGGGTTTGGAGGAGGGTAGCTGGTAGGAAAGGGAGGGAGAGAAAGTGATGTAATTTTATTTCAATTAAAAACTTTTTTGGGTTTTTTGAGACAGGGTTTCACTGTTAGAAAAATATTTTTTAAAAAGTTGAACATACACTGTCTTGTTTCCTCTTACTCAGAAAAAGCACCCAGAGATACTTCTACTCCAGGTGGGAGTTTCAGTTATATGATTTGTAGAACTGGAGAATATTGGAGAAACTGGCCATAGCCTCTGTAAAATTTTTGTGCTGAGGTCCATAAGTTTTTCTGGAGCCTTCCTGACCCCTAGAGTTAACTCTATAGCCTCTTCTTGGTTAGGGACAGGCTGGTACTCACTGTACATCTGCTCCAAATTCCCTTATGCTAATTCTCATCAAATATAGTAACTCTTAGAAGGAACAAGGGTGGGGGGACATATATTTCAGAGGCTGAGAAATCTGCCTAGGATCAACACAGAGTGCTTGAAAAGGGATGGTGGGAAAAGGCAAGCATTTATTTTAATTCTATTGGATGCCAAAGCCATTTCCTTGCCTTCTTCATGTTATCACTCTGTTTAACTAAGGCATTGACAAGATTTCAGTGTCTCTTAAATTTGGGCACACAAATGAGGAGTAACTAAGGGGTCTTGTTAAAATGAAGATCCTTGTTGGAGTTGGAGTTCAGCAATGGAGTCATTTTCTAATGTATATGAGGATTCTCTCCGTTGCACCACAAAAAAAAAAAAAGAAGAAGAAGAAGAAGAAGAAGAAGAAGAAGAAGAAGAAGAAGAAGAAGAAGAAGAAGAAGAATGGATTTGTATACTGGATAGGTGATTGAAGCTGTTGTTTTCCAAAGAATATCACTCTTCCATGTGTGATATTCTAGGATTCTAAGTAGATTCACACCTCATCTTTAGAGAGAATATGCTTGACCAAGGTTGAAATGTCTGTGTGCTGGCACAATAGTCTAGTTGCTTCAGGCATTATTGGTGACTTATAATCTTTGGCTCCTTTTCACATATTCAGCCTCTTAGTGTTGCTCAACAGAAAGGTCAAGTCCACCATTACATTGATAACTTACCTGGTCCAACCGTCTTTCAGTGCTGCTGCACAGAGCTGTGAGGAAAGCAGGGCATCTCTCATTACATATTGGTACAACACACCAGGTTCCCCTGGCCTGGTGGTACTTCAGTAGTTTCTGATCTTGGTTTCACAAACATTATGGTTGTAGTATAAACCAAAGGAACAAGCATGTTTTATTTAAAGATAGAAGCAGTTTAACCAACAGTATTACTCTAGTTGTAAAGTGGCTTTCTTTCCTTATCTCTATGGGAACCATTCCTTTAATAGTCATAAACATTCCTGAAAGGAGGATGCAGTACAGCTGTTTTTTTTTTTTTGGGGGGGGGTTCAAGACAGGGTTTCTCTGTGGCTTTGGAGTCAGTCCTGAAACCAGCTCTTATAGACCAGGCTGGTCTTGAACTCACAGAGATCTACCTGCCTCTGCCTTCCAAGTGCTGGGATTAAAGGCTTGCGCCATCAATGCCTGGGTAGATGTCCTTCTTTGTAAAGCTAGGATTCTCTGTGGAATACAAAGAACTAATACATGGAGGAGTAAAAGGCAGAAGCCTGCTTCTTCCTTTCTTCTTTTTCTTGGCTCTATGTGAACACAATATGTTGAGGAAGTAGGGATAGGGGTGTAGATCAGTTACATGCCTGCCTAGGACATGTGAGGCCCTGTGTTTTAAAAAAAAAATACGGAATACGGTAAGAAAGAATAATAGATGACCATGTACTAGCTGATCAGAATCTTCAAAACTGTCCCATAAGAGATGGGGTATTATTTTTCTACTTCATGGAAAGTAAACTGAGGCTCAGTATGGTTAAGTGAATTGATAGTGTTACATGGCTATACATGCATGGAATCAAAACTAGGTTATCATCTTCCAGACCCAACATGTGACTTACTAAGTCGGAATGAATGGCTTTAGTTTCTCTCATGTAAGGCTACTGAGAAACAGTAAATTCTCTCAGAAAGACAGTAACATAAGGAATATACATTTGGCATTTGCCCCTTCTGCCCTCCACCTTTCCATATCATTTCCTAGCATGCAGCTCCTAAAACACACAATCTCCTTAGTGATAGTATCTTTTGTATACCAATAATTTGACCCTAAATCCAGTCCCTTCATAGCTCGTTACCATTGGACCAAGCTATGACTAAAGGGTTGGAACTTTTAGCCCTACCCTAAAACCTCTGTAAAAGTCCAGAAGGACCGAGTCCATGGAATTTCAGGGTTAGTGAACAAGTGGTAGTACCTGGAAGCACACCAAGAAGGCTTGGAAATTCCATACTGCCTCCCTACATACTTTGCTCTGTGGATCCACTCTACCTGGATCTTCCTAAGTTACATCCTTTATAATACACTGGTTAATGTAAGTCAAGGGTTCTCTGAGCTATTCTATTGAATAATAAAACACAAGGGTTATATTGTAGAAACCTGTGTTCTAGCTGCTATAGGTCAGAAACTCAGGTGACAATCTGGACTTGCTTAATTGGTGAGTAAAACAGATTAGTCCTTGGAGACAGAGTTATATTACAGGACATCCAATTCTTGTCCAAAGAGACTGGTCAGTGTGTGTGTCTCTGTCTGTCTGTCTGTCTGTCTGTCTGTCTGTCTGTCTGTCTCTCTCTCTCTCTCTCTCTCTCTCTCTCTCTCTCTCTCTCTCTCTGGGTGTGTGTGTCTGTGTATGTGTGTGTATTCCCACTTATCTGATTATCAGAGCCAAGTATGACGGTAGTGCTGTGAATATACATGAACTAGATTGCTTCTCCTGCTTTGGCTTGTCTGTAAAAACGGGTTTAAAAGCTTACCTGCTTCAGTGTACTGTCTGAGTACCCCAACCAGGCACATGATGTGGTGTAGGCAGGGTAACCATGTCTCAGCATTTGTTCTTCTGGAAAACACAGCTCTCATAACATTTGACACTTTCCAGGAAACTTCAGATTTATAATTGTCTGGAGCTAAGTTATTACCCACAGGGAATCCAGTTGTTCTCCTGGGTGTCCTTTATACACTCACAAGTACACTTCCTGATGTGTCAAACTCAGACAATAAGGACATTCACTGAATGTCCTGTTCCTCAAAGTTCCCTATGTCACAGTGCAACATGAAAGCTAAACCTCCTTGAATGGTTGCTGAAATGAGGCCTGCAGCCAAGTCACATTGGATGGGCTCTTCACCCAGATTTGCATGTATTACTAAGGGTCTAAAGCTTAGGAAAGGGTATCTGGAAGTACCATGTGGACCCCAGAAGACATGGATGTTCAAAAGTAGATATCAATAGCACAAACAGGGAAGGACATTTTCTCACAACATACCTCTTTCTTTTTTACCAAGTTGACCTTTCTTCAGTATTTCTGGGGGATAATGAGAAGAGCATCAATAACACATTTAGACAATAGACTCTGCATCTGCTATGTGCACTTGTTGAGAAGCACCAAGGCTTACACATAACTCACCATAGGCATCCTTTTCTGTCAAGACGTCAGTGATGTATCTGAAATCAATGCAGGACAGCAGCATCTGTGGATCCTGGTGCATGGGAGGAAAAGGGCCCAGATCAATCCATAGGCAGATTATTTATCTATACTTACACTGATCCCATGGGTTTATCCTTTTCAGGAAGGGATCTTTGGGATTTGTGTGTCTGGTCCTGTCATTCCTCAGTATTGAACATTTCAGAGACTCATTGCTGCCCCTAATGAGCCCTCAAACCCTCAACCCGCCTGTATTAACTTTTACTTCCTGCTACTGCCTTGTTATTTCCAATTAACCTAGATCCTTGACCAGAGGGCCTGGAACCTGGTGAACATTCAGCACAAAGTCAAGTAATAGATTAGTGCTTTGAGCGCCTCTCTGAGTCTGTTCCACCTGCCATACTGAAGTTTCACTAAACTATGAGATGATCAAGGTAGTCTTGGAGTAGCACCTGCAAGTTGCCAGCTCAATTAAATGTTTTCCTTTATAAGTGTTGCCATGGTCATGGTGTCTCTTCACAGCAAAAGAAACTCTAAGATAGGCCTTTCTTTGTGGGCACTCAGAAATCACCTGAGTCAGCTGCCACTCACAGTGATAAGGACATGAGCAAGGTCACTCTGCTACTTATTAATGAAGCCTGTACTGAAAATCAGATCTACTTGGGTCTGAAGGTCCCTCCACATTAACTGGCACAAAGAATTATTTTTTTACCCTCCTTAGCAGTCAGGTGCTCATTCCTGCTACAAATAGTTATCTGAGAAAGAAAACTGCCAGCTGTATGTCTTTGGATTTCAATATTAAGCTGCTGCCCCAATGGAACTGTATGGCAAAAACTGCCATGACCTGATCATGCTTTTAGAGTGAAAGTGGCCATAAGATATCTTAATAATAGTATGTAACTTTTCAAAATTTATAGAGTTGTATTCTCATTTGATATTTAAACTGATTCTGAAGCTCCTAATGGCTCAGATAATTTCCTTAAGCTGAGAACTTGTATGACATTGAAAGGACCCTTCAGAATAAGGCAGGACTTGAACTTACTTGCTTGCCTGCATGAGCACAGCTATCTGCCATTTCAAATTATCAAAAAGAAAGTATTATGGGCTGGGAATATAAGTTTGTGGTAGAGTGCTTGCCTAACCCTGGGTTTATGCCCATAATGGAAAAATTTAATTTTTTTCTGCTCATTTATTTCATAATCAATGATCAATAGACTAGTCCTGAATATTCTTACTGATTATCAAAAATACCAAGTAATCTACATTTTTTCCTTTAGAAATAACTATAATATTAAAAACTCTACTTACCATGTCCACAAGTAGCTTCCATAAAGGCTTGATTAAAAAAAGAAAAGACTTGTAAAACAATCGTTTTTTGTCTGATGTGAATTCACTAATGGTGACTGCTGCCACCATAAATCTGGCTCATTTCCCACCCCATCCCCAATTCTCTCTGTGAGTCTTGCTACCCCTAACTGAGTCTTTATCTTTGTTGTCCCTTCTCCCTTTTCCTTGGCCCTGACCCAATAAATCTCTGACTATAGTCATGTATCCTCTTGAGTTGTGGACCCACAGGTGTTCCCTGAAATCATTACCTTTCCTTCCTGCTTTGCCCACAGGTCCCACACAGCATTCAGAATGGCTGCCGTGGCCAGATGCACTACACCTTTCTCTGGACCAAGCTGGTTGGGAAACAGAGCACAACAGTGCTTGTCTTAGATGAGAAAAGATATCTGGGTCTTCTCCAGGGAAATGCTCCAAGAATTTAAAGATAACCAGGTGTGGTAGCACAAATCTCCACTCACAGAACTCAGGAAGCTGAGGTGAGAGGATCATGACTTTAAGGCCAACCTATGTTACACAGAAAGACCTTGTCTCAAAAACAAGCAAATAAAAAATTTGCAGCAGTGGAAACTCAGTTTATGACCCACAGAAAAGTTGCAAAGTAGAAATAAAAAACCTGAATTCCTTCTCTCCTCTCTCCCTGAACACATTTAATTTTCTAAACCATCTAAAGGCAAAGTTGCAGATACCTCCGTTTTTGTAATCATAATTACCTGTGTGCAACTGCTAAAAACTAGGACATTCTTTTATATGTGTCCTCATAATACAATGATCATATTCAAGAAATACAATATTGATGGAATATTATCTAAAAGATGGCCCATAATCAAATCTCACCAATTTTCCAAATAATGTGCTTCTTTTTGTCCTGACTCATATATGATTCAGTACCACATGTTGCCTTTAGCTGTCATGTGTCTTCAGTCTCTTTCAGTAAAATTCATTTTTGCTTCTCTGAATGACAGTGACATTTTTAGAGTTTGGGCCTTGACTTATCTAGTATCCCTCAATATGGGTTGATAAGCATAAATATATAATTGGTGATGACATCCTCCCTTATTATCAGTGTTATTAAATTATACTACTTTAGAAAATTAGTGTTTCCTTGTTTTCTTTACTACGGAGTTAATTTTTCCTTTTCCAAGGAAGTATACCACTGCCCCAGATTAACTACAACCCAGCTCAACTATGATGGCTACAGTATGATGATTTCTTAATATCATTATTGGCCTCATACTCATTAGGTTGCGTTCTATTGATGATGGACTTTCCCTTATTGCCTGAATGGACTCATGGGTTCTTACATTATAACAGATAAAAGCCATTATTATATCTATTCGCATGTAAAAAATTGTTCAAGAAGGCCAGGTGATGGTGGTGCATGCCTTTAGTCCCAGCACTCAGGAGAGAGAGGCAGGTGGATCTCTGTGAGTTCAAGGTCAGCCTGGTCTACAGAGCTAATTCCAGGACAGCTAGGGCTAAAAAAAAATTGTTCAAGATTTGAATAATAGGAGTTTCTTCAAGTTGTTACTTTTTGAGGCATATTTAACTTACTTTACATAAAGTTAAAAATACAAGTCAAGGAAACAGAGAAAATGCATTCTCTTGTGCCTATCTCTGCATGGAAGGGAAAATAAACAGAGTTAGAAAAGAGAAACTTGGTATCAGGAGAGAGGAAAAAGTCTAGATTACTGGAGTTATCTTGCTGTGTTAGAATCCTTTCTTTAGAACTTAATTTTTTTTTTATGCTTTGACCTTATGGTTCAGATACTGACCTGTTTACACAAAAGCACAATGCTCCTCTATGCTCGTAGTTTTCCTCTTATATTCTCTACCTTACTAGCTATTCCTACAATGCCATTACTATTCACATCCTCACACAAAGGGTTGCCCATTTAGACTTTTATCTTATAGACCTTTTTATTTTGTCCTTTTGAAACAGTTTCTTACTCTGTAGCTCAAGTTGGCCTCAAACCCATGATGATCACAATTTGACTGCTGGGATTACAAGCATAAGCCACTACCACAGTCTTGGCTGGACTCTTTTTCCAATCCAGACAGTAGGCAGTGTGGTGTATAATAGTTGCATTTCTTGAGATCCAAATGCATTCAGATTCAAGTCTTGTAGAAAGGAACTATCTTAAAATGCTGATGATGTTCAAGCCTTAATTTAATTGAATGAAACTGTTTATGAAAAAAATTGAAAACCTTTCTCTGTTTTTATATTTGTTAACACCAAAAGGCCATCATAGACTGTAGAAACATTATTTATAAAAGCTTTTTATAAAACATATCCCTGGGGCTGGAGAGATGACTCAGAGGTTAAGAGCACTGGCTGTTTTTCCAGAGGTCCAGAGTTCAATTCCCAGCAACCACATGGTGGCTCACAACCATACCTTATGAGATCTGGTGCCCTCTTCTGGTATGCAGATATACATGGAAGCAGAATGTTGTATACATAATAAATAAATAAAATCTTTAAAAAAATAAATAAAACATATCCCTGGAGCTGGAGAGATAGATCAGAGGATAAGGGTACTTGCTGATCTTTCTGAGTTCAATTCTCAGTATCCACATCAGGTGACTCACAAACGTGTAACCCCAGTTCTAGGGGATCTTCCATCCTCTTCTGGCCTACATGGGCGTGCACACGCGTGCGTGCGCACGCACATACACACACACACACACACACACACACACACACACACACACACACAATCTTTTAAAACAAATCAAAATACATTCCTTACCCATCTGAGCTGCCCATCACTTGTGAGCTGTCTGTAGAAGCCTCTGAAGTCCCCAACAATGTCACTGAGATCCTTGTGAAGCACTTGTTGGGCAAGAGCATTCACAGCACAGACAACTATCAAAATAGAATCAATTCTTGTTCATGTTGTAATATGCAGTAAGGAAATTATGACATTAAAATACCACAAACAAATGGATGTGGACATTTTATGAAATAATTGAAATATGTAAAACCCCACATACTTTGAAATATTCTTTAAAAATGTGCCTATGCCTACTATAACTAAGAACTAGACACAACTACAATAATTAGGAGTCCACATACTCAGTACAGCAAATGTATTCTGATTGGTTGTCATGTGAACAGCAAGATCAGAGACTTGCAAGTTTAAATACTATTCCCAAATTATTTGCTATTCACTGGGTAATGTGTTAGGCAAAGAGATTCAAAGCCAAACCTTCCTAATTCATTTTCTGAAAGGATAAGAACACTCTGACTTATGGAACTATAAACTTATTTTTAAATTCTGGCAAATAAAGATACTTGATTCACAACATCATACACTACTGAAGATGAATTTATTTGCACATAGCATATTTACATAAAATATTAAAATACATAAGTAATGAACTATGAAGGCAGTCCAATTAAGTAACACTGGAAACTTTGAAAATGTCTATACAACCAACAGTTTCCCTTGGGGGCCTTGAAATTATATGACCTGTGGTCTTAAGGTTGAAGTGTGGTTCAGGACCTGTGCACATTAGTGGACAGCACCTAGTAGCTGTAGAGGAAGATGCAGAGTCAGAAGATGAAGATGAGGAGGATTAAAAACTCTTAATTATATCTAGAAAACGATTTTCTGTGGTGACAAGTAAGGTTCCACAGAAAAAAAGTAAAACTTGAAGATGATGAAGACGATGATGAGGAAACTGAAGAAAAATTCCAGTGAAAAAGTCTGTCAAAGATACCCCCAAAATGTACAGAAATTAAGCAAAGATAAAAAACTTAAAACCATCAATGCCAAGATCAAAAGATCAAGAATATTTTTTTATTGTTTTCGTTTTTTCAAGACAGGGTTTCTCTGTGGCTTTGGAGGCTGCCCTGGAACTAGCTCTTGTAGACCAGGCTGGTCTCGAACTCCTGAGTGCTGGGACTAAAGGTGTGCGCCACCAACGCCCGGTTTAAGAATACTTTAAAACAAAGCAAAATGAAACAAAAACAGGAAAAAAGACTCCTAAAACAACAAAAGGATCTGTTTTGTAGAACACATTAAGGCAAAACTGCAAGCAAGTATAGAAAAAGGTGTTTCTCATCCAAAAATGGAAGCCAAGTTTATTAACTATGTGAATAATTGCTTCTGGATGACTGACCAGTAGGCTATTCAAGATATCTGGCAGTGGAGGAAGTCTCTTTAAGAAAATGGTTTAAGCAGTTTGAGTTTAAGCAGTTTAAGTATATTGCATCTCTAAAAAATTGATCACATACTTGGCAATGTAGCAAAACTACACAGATACAAAAAAATTGGAATAACCCCCTGTATCTTATCAGACCACCACACTTTAAAGTTAGAATTCAGCAACAACACAAATTGCAGAAACCCTACAAACGCATTGAAAGTGAATAATGTGAAATTGCACCATTCCTGGGTCAAGGAAGAAAAAAAAAAAAAAAAAGAAATTAAAGACTTCCTAGAATTTAATGAGAATGAAGACACAACATACCCAAACCTATAGGACACTTTGAAAGCAGTGCTAAGAGGAAAGTTCATAGCAATAAGAGCCCATATGAAGAAACTGGAGAATAGTCACACTAAAGAATTAACAGCGCAACTGAATGTTCTAGAACAAAAGGAAGCAAATTCTCCCCGGAGGAGTAGATGCCAGGAAATAATCAAACTGAGGGCTGAAATCAATGAAGTAGAAACTAGGAAAACACTACAAAGACTCAATGAAACAAAGAGTTGGTTCTTCGAGAAAGTCAACAAGATAGACAAACCTTTATCCAAACTAACCAAAAGGCAAAGAGAGGGCATGCTAATTAACAAAATCAGAAATGAAAAGGGGGATATAACAATGGACACTGAGGAAACAAGAGAATCATCAGGTCATACTTTGAAAACCTGTACTCCACAAAATTTGAAAATCTAAAGGAAATGGACAATTTTCTGGATAGATATCACTTACCAAAATTAAATCAAGAACAGATAAGCAGTTTAAATCAACCTATAACCTCTAATGAAATAGAACCATTCATCAAAAGCCTCCCAACCAAAAAAAGCCCAAGGCCAGATGGTTTCAGTGCAGAATTTTACCAGAAATTCAAAGAAGAGCTAAAGCTAATACCAGTATTCCTCAAATTGTTACACAATAGCAGCAGAAGGGACATTGCTAAGCTCTTTCTATGAGGCTGCAATTACCTTGGTACCCAAGCCACACAAAGACACAACGAAAAAAGAAAATTATAGACCAATATCCCTCATGAACATTGGTGCAAAAATATTCAACAAATATTGGCAAATCGAACCCAAAAACACATCAGAGAATTCATCCACCATGATCAAGTTGGCTTTATCCCAGGAATGCAGGGATGGTTCAACACACGAAAATCCATCAAAGTTATCCACCATATAAACAAACTGAAAAAGAAAACACACATGATCATCTCACTAGATGCTGAAAAAGCCTTTGACAAACTCCAACATCCCTTCATGATAAAGGTCTTGGAGAGATCAGGAATAACAGGAACATACCTAAACATGATAAAAGCAATATACAGCAAACCAACAGCCAACATCAAACTAAATGGAGAGAAACTCAAAGCGACTCCTCTAAAATATATCACATCTTACTTCATTTCTGTAACAGTTGATACATGGCTGTCTTTTTCATTTTTATTATTTATTTTCATTAATTCTCAGGGGTTTTACTGAAAACACACGACTTTTAGCCTAATAATTGAATTCAGTATGATGACAGCTTATAAGATACACACTGAAAGTTAACTATTTCTATTTCTGAGGATTATCTGTATCCCTTTGCATTTCTATCTGTGATAACTGCTGCCAAATTCTGCCAACATTTGCTGACACCTCTGATTTAAAATAGTATTCAGTGTGATAGATGCATGGATAGAACTGGAACTTTTCACAATGGTAATCTTTTTTTAAAAGATTTTATTTATTTACTATGTATACAACATTCTGCTTCCATGTGTATCTGCATACCAGAAGAGGGCACCAGATCTCATAAGGGATGGTTGTGAGCCACCATGTGGTTGCTGGGAATTGAACTCAGGACCTCTGAAAGAGCAGTCAGTGCTCTTAACCTCTGAGCCATCACTCCAGCCACACAATGGTAATCTTTAAAGAAAACAATAGTAATGTTAAATTGAATTTCTTTTCATATGTCTGTGATTGATATAACTTACTCATAGAAATAACTATTCTTTTGTCCATCTTCTAATCTGAGTGATTGTAAATGGTATTATCTATTTTGGAGTGGTATCTGTATTTTTTTTCTTTATTTTTTTCTTTGAATTAGAAACAAGATTGTTTTACATGTCAATCCCAGTTCCCTCTCCCTCCCCTCCTCCCCTACCCCACCCCCCAACTAAAACCCTACCTATCACATATCCTTTCTACTCCCCAGGGAGTATGAGGCCTTCCATAGGGGGGGTCATCAGAGTCTATCATATCCTTTGGGATAGGGCCTAGGCCCACCCCCGTGTGTCTTGTCTCAGGGAGTATCCCTGTATGTGGATTGGGCTTCCAAAGTCCACACCTATGCAAGGGATAAGTACTGAACTTCTACAGGAGGTCCTGTAGATTTCCAAGGTCTCCTCACTGAAACCCATGTTCCTGGGGTCTGGATCAGTCCCATGCTGGTATCCCAGCTATCAGTCTGGGGACCAAGAGCTGCCCGTTGTTCAGGTCAGCTGTTTCTGTGGGTTTCACAAGCCTGCCCCTTTGCCCATCACTTGTTCTTCTCTGCAACTGGATTCCAGTTCAGTTCAGTGATTAGTTGTGGGTGTCTGCTTCTACTTCCACCAGCTGCTGGATGAGGACTATAGGATGGAGGAAAAACAGTCATCAATCTCATTATCAGGGGAGGGCATTTAAGGTAGCCTTTCCTCTGTTGCTTGGATTGTTAGCTGGTGTCATCTTTGTAGATTTCCAGACCTTTGCCTACCGCCTGATTTCTCTGTAAACCTAAAATGTCTCCCTGTATTATGGTATCTCCTTTCTTGTTTTCTTCTATTCTTCCCCCCAATCAACCTTTCTGCTCCCTCATATCCTCTTCAGCCTTCCTCTTCTCCCCTTTTCAGTCTCCGAGCTTTAGTTTTCAAGGATGGAACTCTACTCTTTACTTGGTTTTAAGGATATATAGAATGTTATGTTGGGACATAATAGTGGAGATCAGATGTGGAAGTGGTAGAGAGACAAAAATATACATGTGAAATAAACTCAGTATTTTAATAAAGTAAAAAAAGGATTCATTGTGTGATTTGAAGAAGCCCTTGGAGGGAGCTCATCTTAGGACATTTGTCTCATATGTGTAAATGAAAGCCTTTCCAGACTTTGTTCTTTTTATGACAAATTTAGTTCAAGTGTTAAAGACTAAAATAACCAAGTCATTCATTTGCCCCAAAGCAATTAATTTATTATAAAACATTTTGGTAAATTTGTTTGGTGTTGTATTGGTTCCATACTAAACTTTTAGGTAATTTAATAAGATAGGAATAGGTGTACAGTTTTACTGTATTCTAGAGAAAGACATTTTGAAAGCAGCACCAAGTCTGAGTGACACGGCTTTCCAGTGACTGCTGATGGATGTAGCATTTTGGGATGGACCAACCATTCTGGGTTCTCTAGGGCTTTTGTTAATGGAATACACAATCATTCTAGTTAGGATATTTATGCCATAAAACTGAAAGAAGACAGTATCCTCCTCATTCCTTGACAGTTGATGTTCTTGGATTTAAACAAAAATCTAGAGTAAGTTACTGACTCACAGTGAGGTAATTATCTACATCAAATTCTGGCCTCATGGCTTTGACTGTTGCTATAAATCACTGGGTAAAGCAGCCTATGGTCTATACCATAATAGCAAATGCATCTAACAAAAGCTATGAATGATCTCAGCTTCTATGACTCTAACCATGGAACAAGCCACAGTGAAAAATTTATCTATAGTATGTGGATTTTCCTTGCTTGACATGAAGGTGCTGCAAAAGATTAACTAAAATTTCTGTATTCAATAGAAATTTGGTTGTGGTGTTTTGGCTCCAGCATAGGGAAATTCATAAGGCAAAAATTAGCCTTAAAGGCAGCTTCTTGCTGACTAAACCCAAGTTTTCTCCTGAAAGATGAGTTGGGGAGAAAACCCACTCAACACGAAGAATACCTTGGGTCTAGTCTATACATTAAAATACAACCCAGTCTATCTCTTGGTCACACAAATATAGTCTTCAATAGTGAGGAACACACTATTTTTTTTCCTCATTTTGGGTGATGGTGGTGAATTTAAAATAATAACTTGGTAAATGGGTTGACAAAGGTTGCAGGAAGAATCAGACTGAGCTAATAAAAAATTTCATTTTTGGTGCAAGTTTTAAGTAACACTGAGACGCAATGAGTCTCATGAAATACATAAGATTCAAAATTTAAATAGATTCTATCTGGATGTGGTCTGGAAAACATGGAAGCCAGTAACATTAGCACAAAAGAAACATGTATTAAAGTCACAAGGAGGTGAGAGTTGATTTACCCCTGTCCCAAGACCTCCATCAGGATTGTGGGTGTGGCAGGTAAAGCCCTTGTAATACAACCGAACAACAGCATCTTATCTTAGTGCTCAAGGTCCTTCCACTGTGTTCCCAAAGCAGTGAAGTTCAAAGACTTTGCTTTTTGTTTGTTTTGTTTTGTTTTTGTTGTTTTTTCGAGACAAGGTTTCTCTGTATTGCTCTGGAGGAGGTTGACCTGGAACTCGCTCTGTAGACCAGGCTAGCCTCGAACTCACAATGATCTGCCTCCCTGAGTGCTGGGATTAAAGGCATGAGCCACCAACACCTGGCCAAAGACTTGGCTTTTAACAGAGTGGTTTCAATGGCCTGGCACAGGTTTTATAAGTTCACTGTGTTGGGTTATGAAATGTGCCAGGTTTGTGCTGTATGGTATACAGTATAGACAAAGGCAACAACTTCATAGAATGCTCAGCATGTAGGCAGGCACAATTAAAGTTGCAGAAAGGCAGGAACAGCTCACAAATCTATCTTGGTCAGCAGTCACTATTTTGTGGGAAACTTTTACAGGAGATCCTTAGTAGGGAAAGTAGGATATGTAGATGAGTTGGTGAATTCTTGTCTGGTCTCTTTTACTCAGAAGATAGGTTCTATTACTCTTGGGATTTGCCTCTAGTCTGAAACCTTCCCTAAGCCTTTGGGTGAGGGAAAGAACTTTTCTCTGTGCAGTTTAGATACATTAACTAATTTTCATACTGTATTATAAATATATACCTTTTATGTCTGATTCCCCAGTAAGTTCATGCATTCTTCTTATATGGGACTCTGCTTTCTTTTTTAAAATTTATTTTTATTTCATGTGCATTCATGTTTTGCCTGCATATATGTCTGTGTGAATGTGTTGAATACCAAGAAACTGGAGTCACAGGAAGCAATGAGCTGCCATGTAGGTGCTGGGAATCAAATCCCAGTCCTCTAAAAGAACAGCCAGTGCATCGAGCTGTTCTCTTCAGCCCCAGGACTGTGCTTTATTATTCTTTCTCCACTCTTTTGAGTATTTGCCTGTGTGTATGCATGTGTACTACATACATGCCTGATGTCTGTGAGGGCCAGGAGGTGACATCAGATTCCCTGGAATTGGATTTAAAGATTGTTGTGAACTGCCACGGAGTACTCAGGACCAAACCCAGGGCCTTTGCAAGAACAAGTGCTCTCAACCATACATGCCATGGTATTCTTGTGGAGTTTACAGGACAACTTGCTACAGTGGGTTCTTTCCTTCTGTCATATAGTTTCTGGGAATTAATTCAAGTCATCAGGCTTGGCAGCAAGCAACTTTATCCACTGAGCCATCTCACCAGTTGTTTCTTTCCCTTTAAAAAATTTCTTTTCCAGTGCCTTACAGAATGTATGATACATATCAGCTCTTCATCAAGTTCAGGATAGACTGACTTACAACATGACTATTGTGTGACCTGCTTGGTAGTCTGAATGGAATTGCAATGGAGCAAATATGGTGATATCCACTGAAACTTTGAAAATATTTCCCCTTGTTATTTAGACACACATTTAAATTTTTTTTTACTTGTTTGAAAATATTAAAATCTTTGAGCAAGGGCAGACTTTTTCCCTATAGGCAGTGAGAGGGCTAAAAGTACAACTATCCATGAGAGAGGTAGATATTGCTATCATAGGTAGGAAATCTGTTTTCTCCTTCTTTGATACTTATTTTTTAATCTATCATGATTTATATTTAGATCTTCATGATCTGTTGAAACTAATCTTGTAAAAGTGACCTTCTTGTACTTCTTGAATGTTGTGCTATGTATATATGTTGTGTATGCAAACAAAAGGCGGCATTTAAATGCTCTAGAGAGAGGGACTGGGGAGATGGCTCAGTTGGTAAAGTACTTGTCTTGCAAGAATGAGTTCAAGCCCTAGAACCCATGTAAAAAAAGAAAAGCTGGATGTGATAAAGTGCACTTGTAATCCCAGTGCTGGGGCAAAGATGACAGGAGGATCCTGGCATTGTTGGTTTCAGGCTAATGAGAAATACTGCCTCAAAAAATAAGGTTGATTGCATCTAAGAAACAAACACCTGAAGTTGATTACATATATGTGCTCACACTCCTGCAAGCTACCTGTACAGACATGTGCATATACACAATCAATGTTCTAGATAGAAAGTACTTTAGTGCATCAGATTCTGCCATTGCTAAGTATTAGTTTTCTATCTCTAAAATATGAGGAACCTCAATATCACCCCTAAAATTTGATCTAGCTTTAACACAGGTTAAATTACACTCATTATTTTCAGTTTAGAAAAACAGGAGGAATGCTTATACAAGGATGGATGAAAACCATCAGAGAATCTTTGGAAAGCAACTTGGTATGAAATACTATGGGCTGAGTAGACTCACAGTACATAGCACAATAAGCAATTCTGCATGTGACATATCATCTTCTCCTTTATTTTACCCTCAGTCATTTGCCTACATTTAGTCCTCAAAGCTCTACAATAGTCTCAAGTTAAAAAGCAGTGGGTAATACTCTGATAGTTATACTTTGACACAGGGAAACTGATGCAGATTCAAGAATTTTTCAGCAATCTAGAGATGAGTATATAAGGAAACATGAAATGCTATTTTTCCAGTTTTTCCCAGATAAGCACCACACTGCAAAGAATTGTTTTTACTCCATTTGAGCAGCATGATTACAAAGAAAAGTAAAGTAAAAAATTGAATCTACATGAAGATGAAGCATTCTGGGAACTCAAGACTTGAGTCCTCAAACTCACCAACTTCAGTGCCCTTCCCCAGAGTGAAAGTAATGCCATAGCCCTTGAGTCCATCTTCTGCATCAGTCTCTATGATGACATAGGCAGCCGAGTAGTCAGGGTCTGTGTGCTGTAGGAAAAGGGGTCCCAAAAATGCAAAGATGAGATACCTCCCCCAAAAACATAAAAATAGAAATGCTGCCAGGCAGTGGTGGTGCACACCTTTAATCCCAAAACTTGGGAGGCAGAGGCAGGTGGATCTCTGTGAGTTTGACGCCAGACTAGCCTACAGAGTGAGTTCCAAGACAGCCAAGGCTATACAGAGGAAACCCTGTCAGAAAGAGAAAGAGAAAGAGAGAAAGAAGAGAAATGCTATAAGGGATATACAGAGCTCCAATCTGATAGAACACTAGATGTAATCCAGAGAGTATATAAGAGATCTGAATGAACTGAGGTAAAGTACTCCTAATGATTCACACCAGTGCAGAAATGCAATGTATACAGTTTGGGGGGATGAATGAAAATGGAATCCAAGGTTTGTACATGATTGGCACATACTTTGCTACTAAGCTCCATACGTAGCCCCAGATGCATACATTCTTAAACAAGTTTGCAATGATATCAAAATTTGGTTTTGAGTTTTTTTTAAACCCAGGAGTTTTGGATCATATCTCTCTAAAAAGATTTACCTTCATAAGCAATTTGAAATAGAATGAATCAAAATTATTAGAAAACTCATATAAAAAATTGGATAGCTCTCCATTGTAACAGCTTATGTAGACTGACAATAACACAGTTTACATTCAGAAATCACTGGAAGAAAATAAATAAAACATTAAGACAAGTTAGCTCATTTATTCATGTTGCCCTGTGTTACATTAATTTTCTAATACTGAACAATGTTTTATTAACTCCCTTTGACAATTTTCATGTATATACACAGTATACTCTAGTCACATTTACCTTCTTGCCCCCATCTTCCTGCCATCCCTAATCAACTCTCCACTTCTTCAAACAAGTCCCTTTTATACTATCATCTCTATTTGTTTTGTAAACCATTGAGTTTAACTAGAGTCATACATGGGTGGCCATGGTTATAGAGCTATCCATATCTACTATCCATCAGTACATGGGTAACTTACCAGTGGCTATACCACTGAAGAGAATGACTACCCTCAAGCAGCCATCAACTGCCAATAGCTCCCTGTGATGGGGCAGAAACCCATGAGCCCCCCCCATACATGACTTAAAACTGAAAATGACCAGACTTCAAAGAGTAATTTTGATAATTTTTTACTGTTCAACTACTATGAAACTCAGTGTGGCTTGGATGGAAGCCAGTTGGTGATATGGAAGAAGCAGATTTTTTTTTATTCTATTGCATCACTAGAGTTTTTTCATATAGTGGGGAGGGGGAGCCAAAACCTAAGACCAGATAAGAAGATGTTTAAGTGATGATTGTGGTCAGTTAAAACTAGCACAGTAGTTAGTTCAAGAAGGAAGAACTAGAACTTGAGGAAATTTTCTTGAATGGAGCAAAGACAACAAAGATGTTCAAAAGGGCAGAAAAAGAAATACAAATCCCAGAGGCTTTTTGTTTTCAACAGAGAAGAAAAAGATCTACAAAAGCATTGGTTTGGAAGTGAATGAGTTCCTTGACATGTCAGATATGGACATAGTAAAAGCCAGGCAGAAGGTCTGAATATGTTAAAGAGGTTTAGGAATCTGCCTAAGGACATAACTTATGGAAGCAGACTGTAAAAAGTTCTCACATATTAAGTGCAGGGGTAGGAGGTGTGCATGATAGATGGGAAGTCTGAGTTGGCACCAAAGTTCAATGCAGGGTGATGTGATACTTAATGCAGCCTCTGTATCAGAGACTGTAGGTTGCTGAGGGGGACACAGATGTCAGGCAGAACACAGTAAGTCTTTGGGAAAATGCAAACTATGAAAGGCAGGCAGAGGGTATTGTTAGGTGAATGTACTCAGAGGTGGAGCAGGTTGTAAGAGGTTGTACTCTAAGGCAGTATGTGGAGGACTGAAGCTTTTCAGCACTGAAGAAGGACATGGGAAGGAAGAGTACTGCAGGTGAGATAACTGCTATGGCTTGAATATAGTTTATCCACACTAGAATTCATACTGAAACTTGATCCCCAGTGGAAGGTATTTAGGGGTGGTTAGAGGTATTTGGACCTTTTATAAATTTATTTTTAATTTTTTGAAATTAAATTATAATCACATCATCTCTGTTCCTTTTCCTTCTTCCAGACCTTTTCATGTGCCCCAACCCTACTTGTTTTCTTTGAAATTCATGGTCTCTGGTCTTTTTTTCTGTTTCTCCTAAAAATATAAATAAATCCATTCAGTGTCTGACCTCCACAAAGAAGTGTCTCTTTGAAATATATAGAAACCATTACAGAAAACCATACAGATAAAAAAAATGCAGAAAACAAGTGACAGTGTGGTGCCCAGCCCAAATGATCCATCCACAATACAACTCCTCCATTTAAGGCTCAAGGAACCTCTCAAAAGGAGATGAAAATATTCTAAGAGCTTTGAGATTGCATCTTCTAGAAATGTCAGGGAAGCTACACCCATGAAGTCTCAATGCTGGATTTTTTGGACTGTTAGAGAATAATTACTTATTTGTACCCTGATGAATGGAGTAATAAGACTGGATTAGGGGCTGGGTATGGCGGTGAATGCCTGAAATCCTAGTATTTGGAAGGTAGAGGCAAGGAGGATCAGGAGTTTAAAGTAATTCTCAGATATATTGTAGCATGAATTCTAATTGGTCTTAATAATAAAAACCCAGAGTCAAAAAGGGAGGAGGGGGCCGAACAATCAGAGAAGCAAAATCACATTCAGTGATGAGGGTCTGCATTTTTTTTTTCTGTTTTCGAGGCAGGGTTTTTCTGTGTAGCTTTGTAGACCAGGAGGGCCTAGAACTCACAAAGATCTGCCTGCCTCTGCCTCCTGAGTGCTGGGAATAAAGGCGTGCACCACCACCGCGGGACTGGGGGTCTGGATTTTACAAGTTGCTAAAATTATGAATACTTATTTATAAGTCCAAAAATGACTACTTTTTTATGTCATATACCACAATATCACATATAAGGGCATAGGGACTTTTTTTTTTAAGCCTTGGAACAAAGAACTTTCTTCTGCAGTGGACTCCACACATGTATTTAGGTTAAGGCATCAGCCAGTTGGGTAAGGCAAGCATAAAGGGTCCTTCTAACAGTCTTGGCTAGCAAGAAAGTCCTTCAGCACTGAGATGGGAGCCCAAATCTATGCCCTTCCTTTATTTCCTCTCTTAAGACTGTCACAGGTAGAACTCTTTATGTTAATTTTTTTCTAATCACTTTTGTAATTAAGCAATTTCACATGAGTGCTCTCTTTCTCTTCTCTCTCTCCTCTGCCCCCTCTCCCTCCCTCCCTCCCTCTCTCCCCCTTCTCCCCCTCCTCTCTATCCCCCTCTCCCCCTCTCCCCCTCTCTCCGTCTCTCTCTCTCTCCTCTCTCACTGGACTCGGTTTCACAGCCTGACTGTGACACTTTCATACAATTGTTGAGCAAGGGTGGCAGAGAGGTGGGAACTTCTCAAGTCTCTCAGTGAGCTGTGGCAGAGGGAGGATCATTACCCTACATTCCCAGACTGAAGTTCCCGGTCCCCACCACTGCGAGCCCCGTAATGTAGCCAATATGGACACAGTCAGTGCTGTGTTCCCCTGCTTCGCTAGTGAGGACTCAAACCAAACCCTTTTGCTCTTGGTCCTCTGCATTCTACCCTTTTCAAGAAAATCTGAGTTGTAAAACTAAGGCAAAGAGCCGGGCGTTGGTGGCGCACGCCTTTAATCCCAGCACTCGGGAGGCAGAGGCAGGTGGATCTCTGTGAGGTCAAGTCCAGCCTGGTCTCCAGAGCGTGTGCCAGGATAGGCTCCAAAGCTACACAGAGAAACCCTGTCTCGAAAAACAACAACAAAAACCTAAGGCAAAGAAAAGGCGGAAAAAGAGAAAGAGAAAAGACACCCCCACCCTCACTCCCACTCCATTACCCCGAGCGCCTGCCTTCCCCAGAAAGTGACAAGTGCTGGCTACCCCTGCTCCTCAGGAGGCGCCTGCCCTGCCTCCACTTCAGAGAGGCCGGTCGCCTCGCGCACACACACGCGAACCCTTTGGCCCGCGCGCTTACCATGGCGTCGGAGCCGTGACCACTTAGCGACGTAGGAAAGCGCACGTCATGGACCGAGAGTCGGGAGATCCTGCCGTGCGCCATTTCGCTCGCGCCCGGAGAGGTTCAGGGAGTACAGCTGTGCGAGCCCCAGGCCAGGTCTGGAGGGCGGGGCTGGGACGATGATTGGTCAGTTTTCTGGGGGCGTGACCGCACACCGGGACTTGGATTTCTTGCCAGCCTTGCTTCAGTACCGCCCCCCCCCCCCCAGGAGCCAGCTGAGCTCTTCCAGGGAAGTGGAAAGTCAGGTGTGTCCAGCCCGTGGCACAAACTCGTTAATGTAAAAAGTTTATGTAAACTCTGGTTCTCCCTCGTGAACTTCCAAATGTCTTGTTGCCACGTCAAACGTGCCCTCAAGGCCAGTGCCCTGAAGGCCAGTGTGGTGATGGCTCAGCGAGTACAGATGCCTGCAACCAAGGGTGACTTGAGTTCAATCTCTAAAATCCACATAGTTGAAGGCAAGAACCAATTCCTGCAGATTGTCGCCTGGCCTACACACACACACAGAGAGAGAGAGAGAGAGAGAGAGAGAGAGAGAGTTTGTTTTCCTATGTCCCATACCAGGTGGTTCTTCTGACATAAGACAGAGATTTTGGATTTTTCTTTAGTAAGTATGCTTATATTTTGAGGAGAGAGCCATACTCTAACTCCATAGCCAGCTTTAATTTTTTATGGAATTGGGAGCAGTAAAAGATCATTTGCCTTTTATGTTTGTAAGGTGCATCAAAAACAAGCATTTGGGAAGATTATGAAATTCTACCCTGTTGGAGGTGTGCTATACCATCAGGCCACTTTACTTTTTCTTGAGACATTTTTTTCTTTTTTAAAAATAATTTATTTTTATTTTATGTACATTGGTGTTTTGCCTACATGCATGTCTGTGTGAGGGTGCCAGATCACCAGGAAATGGAGTTATAGACAATTGTGAACTGTCATGTGGGTGATGGGAATTGAACCTAGGTCCTCTGTAAGAGCAGTCAGTGCTCTTAACCCTGTCTGTGGTCTCTCTAGCCTAAGTCACTTTTTTTTTTCTCTTGATGACCCATCCTTTTTCTTTAGATGTCTCATTTGTCCATTGATCTTAGATTCCTTAGTTGGATCCTGGAAAGTCAAAAACAAAACCTTACTCCAATGCTAGCTTTAGGGACTTTCATTTTTGGCAAGTTATATCTTTGTTAAGCCAAAATGGTTTTTGAAAACAAATATATATATATATATATATATATATATATATATTTGGTTTTTCGAGACTGGGTTTCTCTGTGGCTTTGGAGGCTGTCCTGGAACTAGCTCTTGTAGACCAGGCTGGTCTCGAACTCACAGAGATCCACCTGCCTCTGCCTCCCGAGTGCTGGGATTAAAGGTGTGCGCCACCAACGCCCGGCTTGAAAATGTATTATTTTTGACAATAAAAATATTTTATACCTGATCAAATAAAAGGCATTTGTTAATCTTATGAGTTAATTTGGATTAAATGACCAAGCTGTTTAATGAACAATCCTGTTCAAATCTAATCTATCAATATTGATGGTATCCATAGCTTTTCTTCTCCCGTGGAAACAAAAGCAAACCTCTTCTCCAACATAACACATATCCTGGTTTCCATTTTGAGGTCAACAGATCTTTAAAATATTCAGGCTGATTTAATTCAGCAGTTTTTTTTAAATATCTCTCAAAAGCTGTTGTTTCTCGTTAGTGTTTAAAAAATTAAAGTTAATAAACCACTGTGAAATCCATGGGGGGGTCTTTATACTCTTTTCTGCTTATTAAGCATATCTTTTAAAGTACATTTAGACCTTTTTATAACTGCTTGTCCTGTGGGATTGTGTGGTATACCTGTAATATACTTTATGTTGTAATATGTAAAAAATTGTTCATTTTACTAGGGACATATGCTGGAACATTGTCAGTCTTAATTTGTACAGGAATTCCCATAATGGCCATAACTTCTAATAAATGTGTAATTACAGGTTCAGACTTTTCATAACTTAAAGCAGTTGTCCATTTAAAGCTGGAATATGTATCTATAGTATGGTGCACATACTTTAATTTTCCAAGCTCCACTGAATGAAATACATCCATTTGTCAAATTTCATTTCTTTGAGTACCCTTTGTGTTTCTTCCTACAGATAATGGGTTTGGTTATACAAAGAACAAGTAGGACATTTTCTTATATTTCCTTGTTGTCAAGCGATAGAAAAATTTTTCCTTAAACCTTTGTTATTAACATGGTGTTTACTATAAAATTCTGAAGATTTCTAGCACATTTTCTATCAATAGCTGATTAAGTTTATCATTACCTTGGGCTAAAGAGCCTGGTAGACCAGCGTGGGATCTGATATATGTTACATACAATAGATGATTTCTATTCTGACTACTTGTTATAGTTGAATACATAACAAAGTTAATTCTGGAAACTTTGGAATAAGTTCAGCAGTATAAATATGTAAAACAACTCTTTTGCATATTCAGAGTCAGTAACTATATTAAGAACTTCTGGAAAATCTAATAATACTAGGAAAATAGCATATAATTCTGATTTTTGAACAGAATCATAAGGGCTTTGAGCCACTTTACTTATTTTTCCAGACATAACATGCCTCTTCTGATTTATTTGTATCAGTATAGAATATAGGGACTCCAGAAATTGGTGTTTCCTTTATTATATGAGGGAGAATTCAATTATTTATTTTTGTAAACAGAAGTCTCTTATTTGGGGGATATTTGTTGCTAATCTCTACAATAGTATTACTGCAAACTCTCTGCCAGTGTTCATTTTCTGACCATAATGATGCAATTTCAGCATTACTTAAGGGTACCACAATTTCTGCTAGGTGTATTCCTGATAATTGCTGAAGTCTCATTTTTCCTTTCAGAATCAATGCATAAACCTCTTCTACACAGGTCTTATTTTTTATTGTTTGTGTGGTAAAAGTATCCATTCTAGGATATTATCTTCTCTCTGCCTAAGAATTCCTGTAGGAAAATGAGTAAATGGTAGTACGACAAGGATACAATCAAGCTTTGGATCCAATGACAATTCTCTCTCAGCCTCAGCTGATAATTTTCTTAGACTCTTTAAGTTCTTATCACCTTGTAAGGTTTGAAATAAATTACTTAGTTCTTGAGTGGTTAATCCAATTGTGGGCCATAGTTAAATATATCCCAGCAATTTTTGAAAATCATTAAGAGTTCATAATTGAACTCTCCTGGTTTGAAATTTCTGTGGTTGAACTTTCAGTAAATCTATCTTATATCCTAGGTAATTAAAGAATCTCCCCTTTGTATTTTTTTCAGGAGCAATTTGTAATCCCCAACAAGGTGAAATTATCTTCATCAAACATTTTTCTAAGGTATCTGTGTCAGAATCAGCTAATAAGATATTATCCATACTAAGGCAAGTTATAGATTGAGGAAACCATTTATGAATTATGTCTAATGGCTGTTGCGCAAAATATTGACACAAAGTGGGACTGTTTATCATTCCTCGTGGCAAGTCCCTCCACTAGTATCTTCTAATAGGTTGAGAATTATAAGTGGGCACCACGAAGACAAATTTTTCTCTATTCTTTTCTTGCAAAGGTATAGTAAAAAACGAAACAAAACAAAAACAAAAACACAGTCTAATCAAACATAATAGACCATCCCTTAGGTAATAAAGGCAAGGGAACTCCAGGCTTTAAACAGCCCATTTAAACAGATTTGAACAGATCCATTGGCTGAATCACCTTATTTATAGCTCTCAGATGTATTACCATTCTTCATTTTCCAGATTTCTTTTTAATGACAAAGGGAGAATTCCAAGGGCTAATCAATTCTTCAATATGTTGAACATTTCGATGCTCCTGTACTAGCTGTTCCAGTGCCTGTACGTTTTCCAATGTCAAAGGCCATTGTTCCACCCACATAGGCTTGTCAGTTAACCATTTCAAAGGTAGGGCTATTGGAATCTTTGAAAGACTAACAGTTGTGCCTAGTTTATGTACAACCTGAACAGTCTGTGACTGTCCCGACCTGCAGGATGTCAACCTGGGGCAAGAGTCAGGAATAGGGAATGGGTACAAGAGACACAGAAAGAACCACTACAAGACAGGATTCTGATCAAGTGGCAAACTTTACTTTTCTCAGGCTAGGTTATAATAGTCAGGATATGGGGAGGAGCAGAATGGGTTGTTTGTGCACCAGGTGTTAGTATAGGCAGGATATTAGGAAGCCACAAAGAGGATGCTTGGCAGGGTAAAGAGTTCATGAGTAAGAGGTCCAGGAAGGGTTGCCTAGGTGACTGAGCCTGTGGGTGGAGGACTGGGTCAAGTTGTTTCTTTTCTTGAGCTGAGGTTCTAAGGAGCTTCTATGTAAAGGTTAACTATGTGGCCTGCCAAGTATGGCCTAGGATCTCATGCCCAGCCCTGAGATTTGGCCCACAACATGTGATTATTCTTAATAATACCTTCTAATATTTTTCTCAGAAGCATACACTCATTTAAGGTTTGTTTCTGAGAATGGAGGGATATTAATCTGGATTTTCCATCACTGTAACAAATTATATCCCCATAAATCTATTGCTATGTTAGCCACGTATGGCTTTAATTTCCCTATCTGTCCTTCTGGCCCTATACACTCAACCCATCTTGTACTTTGTTTTACCTGAGATAAAGTTCCAATCCCTAGAAGATGAATATTTATCTCCTAAAGAGGCCAACCCCAATGCCAAGATTTTGGTGAAATTGTTAACACCTATGCCTATGTCTATGAAAACTTCAATTACAATGCCATTTATTTGTATTTCTAGCTTTGGTCTTTTATCATTTATAGAAGTTTGCCAAAATATTTGTTTTATGGCCTCTCCTGAATATTTTATCTACTGAAGCTGTTTTGTCCCTGATCACATCCAGAGCAGTATGGTTTTTTAACAACAGGCATTAAGTCTTTTAGTTGCTCTGTGAATGAGTTTTTCCAGTGCTGACAGGGAATGATTGAACTTAATTTGATACTGGAGCTTGTGAAAGCACCATCTAAGGTGTTTCCTAATGAAAAAGAGTGACCCT